TCTTCGATATCCTGGATGAGGTTCCTCATAGGCTGTGATATCTTTGCTGCGTTTGATGATTATTTGAGTTTTAAAGACGTTAATCGGAGCTTCGCAATGTGGAATAAGATCACTACTGTCTTCGTCACAACTATGGGCTGTCTCTGTGGAGCTAGTTGATAGTGAATTGATTTCAGTCGGCAGCCTTGATAGAGCGTCGGCCACTACATTGGTCTTACCAGGCCGGTAGACTAGCTCGTGATTATATTCTTCAATTCGAGCTTTCCATCTTTTGAGCTTCGCATTGTAATTGCGGTTGCCTAGAGCAAATGTGAGAGGCTGATGGTCTGTCAGTATTTTGATTTTTCTTGCCCCATACAGATAGTTGCGCAGGTTATCAAGTGCCCATACGATGGCTAGCATCTCCTTCTCATTAGTAGCGTAGCCTTCTTCTGTCTTGTTTAACGATCTAGAGATGTACGTAATAGGCCTATCCTTTCCTATCTCGCCTTGAGATAAGACAGCACCAATCGCTTGATTCGACGCATCTGTGGTCAGTATAAATGTGCTCTCGAAATCCGGAAAGATGAGAACTTCAGATGACATTAGTAGCTTTTTCAAATTATCAAATGCTTTTAGTTCTGCTTGGTTTAGTTTTACTATCACCCGTTTGGACTGATTGGCTTTTATTTGCGCATTGTTACCTCTTGTCAAGTTCGTTAGAGGTTTTGCAATTTTGGCAAAATCTTTGATGAATCGCCTGTAGTAAGATGTTAGTCCTAGGAATGACTTGAGTTCTTTAAGATTTGTTGGTGGTTTAATTTGTCTGATGGCTTCGACCTTTTTGGGATCCGGTTTTATTCCTTCGTGAGTAATCAGGTGTCCCAAAAATTCCACTTCTGTCTTGAAAAAATGGGTTTTTTCCAGGTTAACCCTTAGATTTGCCTTTTCCAATGTAGAGAACACTTCCTCGATATTTGTTAGATGTTGTTCTTCGGTTTCTCCAAAAATGATGACATCGTCTATATAGACGTAGCAGCGCTTTCCTATGTGTTGCTTTAGCACGTCGTCTATCATTCGCTGGAATATGGCCGGTGCATTCCTCAAGCCAAAGGGTAGTCGAGTAAACTCGTACTTCCCATTCATAGTGGAGAATGCTGTTTTGGGTATATCTTTTTCCGACATTTTGATTTGGTGGAACCCGGATGTGAGGTCAATAGTTGTAAAAAACCTAGCTTTTCCCAAACTTGAAAGCGTGTTGGTGATGTCGGGAATCGGGTACGTGTCTGGAATGGTTACAGCATTTAATCTTTTGAAGTCGATCACCATTCGGTATTTCTTAGTTCCTGAGGCATCTGGTTTCTTGGAAACTATCCAAATTGGAGAGTTGTAAGGACTCTTTGATGGTCGGATGATACCATCTTTTAGTAAATTCCCTATTTGCTCTTCGACCTCTCCTCTCATGTTGCTGGGATACGGGTATTGTTTGGTGTAAATTGGTTCTTCATTCGATGTTTTGATCTCTGCCCTTACTTCCGTGTCTATAATTTCGCTATCATTAATTGGCCCAAAAATCTTGCTATACTTGCTGATAATTTCTGAGATTCGTCCCTTTAGTTCTTCAGACAAATGGTCTGCCTTGATTTCAATGTTATTGACTTGAACTGATGTTTTTTGCTTAAGAGGTATAGTAATACCAGGTTTTATCGTAATTAGGTTGTTCTTTCTGTCTATGACGGCTTCCAAGGCTTTCAATGTATCGTCGCCCAAAATACCGTCGAACGATTTTAATCCTGGCAGGACGAAAAATTCCAAGGTACTATTATTACCGATGCATTTGAAGAATTTGGCGTTCATTTTTTCTGTAATTTGAACATCACCTCCCGCAGAACGAATTTTAAATGGTTTGTTGGTTGGTTTTGTGTCGACAGCAAGCTCGGGTCTGATGAAGTTTTTATTGGCTCCCGTATCAACTAGGAACTTTAGGATATCATTGTTCCTGGTATGGTACTCTAGGTAAGGAACGCTAGAGAGGCTCCGCTCGTAAAATTTATCTCTTGCGGATCATCTTCTTTTTCTTCATCAACTTCATATTCCTGATATTCATCTACTTCTGGTGTTTCTTGATTAGAATCGTCATTTTCTTCCTGCTCCAGGTTGAATAGCCGTTGCTTGGATTCAGGCTCGTTGTTTCTTGGCCGGTTTATATAGTTGACTCTCTTGCTATGTAGCGATGGATCAACATCCATCGGTGTAGGTGGTTTCGGATATGTTGGTCTTGGAGGTGCGTAGCGATTATTTTGTTGGTAATTTTGTTGTTGGGGTTGGTTACCACCTATTGGGTGACGTTGTGGGAAACTTTGCTGATACGGATTACGTAAACCATCTTGGTATGGTCTGAACGGCATAGGGATTCTTGGTTTGCTGCTTATGTTATTGATAGGTACCGAAACTCGATTATTGTTATTTTTTTGGTGCACTGTTATGTTCCTAAGATTTAAATTCTGCATCTCCAGGCAAAACGCATACGCCTCTGGCAGTGTTTGAGGCCTCTGAATCATTAACATTTTTGCTAATTCACCATTTAAACCTCGTATAAAGACGTCCAATGTTTTATTTCTGTATGTCTCGACAAGCACAGCAATTGTTTCAGCATTGTAGGTTTCCGTTTTTAATTTATTCACGATGAGTGAAAATTGATGATTGACGGTAGCGTAAAATGAATCTATGCTAGAGTCGCCTTGTTTAAGCATGAACAGTTGGTGCTCGAGGGTACGCACATCTCTTTTATCGGCGTAATGCATCGACAAGCATTCCTTGATTGTTAACCAGTCTTCGTCATAGATGTTATACGATATCAAGGCCAGATCAGCCTTGCCTCTGATTTTCTGCCTGATGCTTTGTAAAATAGTCCGGTATATGGGTCTTTCTTTAACGATTTCATAATCTTTTAGTATGCTTTCTACGGCGTGCACCCAAGAGATATATTGTACTGGATCACCATCGAAATATTGGAGCTCCTTCACTCTGTCTGGGAGTCTGCTTATTTCTTTGAGTTCGTCAACGGTTTTTGGCGTTGCTAGAATTTGTTGGCTTTGTGTTTGATTACCACTAGATCCAGAAAATTCTAAATGTTGAATCCGTTGCTCCAGCCTTTTCATAAAACCTTCTTGCTCTTGTGTTAAGTCACTACCCGTTGCAGAATGTTCCAGATTTACGATACGTTGTTCTAAACTTTTGATTTGTTCTATTTGCCGGTTCACTATTCCCGTTAAATTATTGATTGCTGTGGTTAGAGCTTCCATTTTATACTCTTATATTTTTTATTTTTAAGCCTTTGAATTTGTAAAAATTTTTTTATTGAACAATAGTTCGATTTTGATTATTCGTATCAACTCTCGTTCTCCAGTAATAGGGTTTCTATGTTTTACGTGTATTGGTGGTATTGCTACCTTTACTTTTTTCGTTTATTAGTTTTCGTTTTAAATTTTAGTAGTCAAATTAATTTTGATTTCTTAATTTATTTAATTCACCGTTATTTATATTAATTTAATTTTAGTTTAATTTTTGGTTAAGTTTTTTTTTTAATTTAATTTAAATTTTTTTTTTTTTTTTTTTACTTTTATTTAAGTTTTTAATTTTTAATTATTAAGTTTATTTCAATTTTTTATTGGTTTTTATATTTAATTAATTTTTATTTAAATTAGAATTGTTAATCGTTTTTCTTTTAAATTGTTTAATTTTCCTTTTTTTAAAAAAATTTTCTTACTTTAGTATTATGAGGACTATTAAAGCGCGGGTTCGCATGTCCTATTGTTCCCGTGTTACTGAAGGTTACTTCAGGAGTCTCAGATGATTGTGTTGTGCTTTGTTCGCAGGTCGCAGATTTCTACTGGAGGCACCGTATTGTTCCTTTTTGGCTGTTAGTGTTCGAGATTTACTATCGGCCTACTGCGGTACGAGTTACGCTCACTTATGACGGGTTATTTAACCTTGTCTTCACTTGTAGAACCTTATTGTTACGACCTGTCCCTGCTGCTCGGGCGCCAGTTACGAATTTTGTGTCAAAATTCGTTTAAAAAAAAATAATTTTATTTCGATTTTAAAATTACTTTTATAATACGTTTTATTTCTTTAAGATTACTTTTACAATACGTTTTATTTCACAACACTAGGTTAAAATTTAATATAACTTTACAATTAAATTTCAAGACTATTCTAAGACTTTAATGCTTAGTTCAATTAATGTCTAAGACTATCTAAGACTAAATTCTTAATCTAAATGTTACCTAATTTATAGTATAAAATTTGCTTATTTAGCAAATTTAATTTTATGTTATTTTCCTAACTAAAAATTTCTCACAGTACAGCGTAGACATGTCGTCAGCACTTTTTGTGGGAACATATTTTTGCGTTAAGAAATTCTCATGCTGAAATATGATGTTTGCTGGAAACGTATTTGAACATGTTTTAATATTAATATTCAGCGTAGAAGAATTCTCACGATGAAATATGTCTGATGAAACATGTTTGAACTTGTTTTAACATGCCCGCTATTTGATCCCTCGTTAACTTGTATATGCAAAATTATTATTATTATTGACAATAAAATTTAAATAAAATAAAATTCCACATTTTTAGAAGACCCCATTTATCCAGGTTTAATATTTTTTATAAATTGTTCCAGAAACGGTCTCATTTTAGTTTTTTTACAATTATGATGTTCTTATAAATGATATCATTGAATAATACTTCAATTATTAGGTAATAGTTTCGCAAATATATATACGTAATATATGTATATATGTAAATAAGTTCGATAGCTATATACAAACGCATAAAAAATTAGAAACCCCTCATGTTCTTCAGTTACTACATTTAGTCTCTTGACATAAAAATCCAAAATATATAAAAATTATATACAAATTTATGCTGTTTTCTTGTTGATGTAAAGGTGAATTCTTTAACTATGCATTACCGCAATTTTCTAGCCTGTCTTAAAGAAAAATAAATAACACAAATAATATTTCAACCGATTTTATTAATATATGTATGTAGGAAAAATATAGTTAAATTTTAAATAGAGATTGAAAACGGATGCATAACAATAATTTTTTAGCATATTACATTATTATTAACATTATAATATTTTAAGCAATTCGATGTAGTATTCAATCCCCTAAGATAATACTAGATTTATTCAATCTTCTTTGATTGTATCCTTCTTGATTCTTATTAGCAACATAATTTCTAATCTCTGATTTGAGAGACATCTCTTTACTTTGTTTGTGTAAAGTACTATAACTTTGTCTTTGCGTTGTTGTGTATGACACTGTACCGGAGTGTTGCATATTCTCAGTAAAAGCAGAAGACTGATGGGTTTTCATATTAGTAGAATTATTTCCTGTAGAATGTAACAAACATGCACCGTTTCCCCTTAACGAATGGGTATTGCTCAAATTTGTTGAAACGCCAGAAATACTTTTTCTATTTTGAACATCGCTTGCATTACTTTTTTCTGACAAGAAGAAACCAGTGTGATGACCAGAATTAGAACTTTTTCTTATATCCGCATTGCTCGATTCATTGAGAGTGAAGCCTAAATTCGATGATGAATTAGAAAAGTTTTTGTCCCGTTGTATTTTATACGTTCTATATCCTGAATCTACATTGGAAGAAACTAACTGAAAATTGTCAACATTTACATTGCTCTGATTGCTTGCTAGTCTTGTATCACTATGAGAATAGTTTGAATAATTTTTTGACGACGCTATATTAGAAGAATGTGTTCTTTGAGTTATTAACCCTGTGGAAATCACACCAGAATTATGACTTGAAACATTTGCATTTTTATGTATTTTACAAGAGTTGACATCGGTTGCGATCTGTTCTGCTTTGTTTGTAATATTACGAGAAAGAAAACTGTTTGTAATGTCTTCTTCTGAGTGGAGAGTACTTTTTTTGTGATGAAAAGATGTGTTTGCAGATGAGTGATCTTTTTTAGTTTTAGGATTTATAACAGTCGTTATTTTTCTGGTGCTCACCAATATAGCACCATCTTCAGGCGTTGTTTTTCCTTCTTTTATAGTTTTCCCCGTTTGTTTAAATACCATTTGATTAGATGTTTTCATATCTGTTTGATCATTACCAAGGCAAATAGATGACTCTGACTTAATATTTCTACGTGTTTTGCTCAATTTTTCTTCTAATGTCGAGCTTACAGTTTGCCTTTTAATAAGTTCGGAATCATTTCTTGTTTTAACAATAACATCTCCTTCAACTTTTAAGTTATCGACAGGTTTAACCGGCTTTGCCCTATCTCCTGGAGAATATGCTTGTGTGCTAGGAATTTCAATATTCCCTTGAGGATGTAGATTATCGGTTGGTTTTATAGGTTGAGGTTTTTCTCCATTTATGTACACTTTTTCTTCACGCCCATAAAATTTACCACCTGTTCGCAAATTATCAACAGGCTTCACTGGTTCTGGACGTTTACCAGATTTTTCAAACACGGTCAAAGTTTGTTTTGTTTTGTTACTTGTTGTGTTTTCTATTAATGTACTACTGTCAATGTAAACCAAACTATCTTTTGTTAAATTATCTTTAGGTTTTATAGGACCAGGTCTTTTAACAGGTGAAAATGTGGTTTTCTCTGGTGTGTAAAACTCACCTTCTGGGTGTAAGTTGTCTAGTGGCTTTATATTTTCACGTCTTTCAGAAGTTACATGTATAGCTTTTCCCTTTATGTATGTTTTCTTTTCCGACATTATATTATCTTTATTCCTTTCATAAATTTCAATTTTACCTTCAGGTTTGAGATTATTAATAGGTTTTATTTGCTGCGGCCTTTCAGAGGAAGTATATTCTTTTTTATCTGGATAATAAAAATTTCCTTCCATGCGAAGATTATCAGAATGTTTTATAATTTCTTGGCGTTTCGTGCTAATGAATTGTTGTTTATCTAAAATATGCATTTCTCCTTCTTGATGCAAATTATCTTGTGGTCGAATTGGCTTTTCTTTTTTGGCCGGCTTAAATTTATGTTTTTGAGGCAATTCTATTTCACCCTCCGGCTTCAGATTGTCAACCGGCCGAACTTGTGGATACCTTTCGCCAGGGGCAAATACAGGTTTATCAGGGATTTCCATTTTACCTTCAGGTTTCAAATTATCAACTGGTTTAATTTGTTGTGGTCGTTGTCCTGGAGCATATGTTGATTTTGAAGGAGAATAAAATTGTCCTTCGGGTTTTAGATTATCATCAGGTTTAATAGGCTTAGGTATTTCGCCGGAAACATACTTTGGTTTTTTAGGCATTTCCATTTTTCCTTCAGGTTTCAAATTATCAACTGGTTTGACTTGTTTCGGCCGTTCTCCCGGTGCATATGTAAGTCTTTCTGGAGAATAAAACTGCCCTTCTGGTTTTAAATTATCACTGGGGCGTACCTGCGGATATCTTTCTCCAGGGGTGTATTCCGGCTTTTTAGGAATTTCCATTTTACCCTCTGATTTCAGATTATCAACTGGTTTAACTTGTTGCGGTCGTTCTCCCGGGGCGTATGTCGGTTTTTCAGGGGAATAAAATGGACCTTCGGGTTTTAAATTATCACTTGGACGTGTCTGTGGGTATCTTTCTCCAGGAGCGTATTCTGGTTTTTTGGGAATTTCCATTTGACCTTCTGGTTTCAAATTATCAACAGGTTTAACTTGCTGAGGTCGCTCTCCAGGAGCATATGTTAATTTTTCTGGAGAATAAAATTTCCCTTCTGGCTTTAAATTATCATTAGGGCGTACCTGTGGATATCTTTCTCCGGGGGCGTATTCTGGCTTCTCTGGAATTTCCATTTTACCTTCGGGTTTTAGATTGTCAACTGGTTTAACTTGTTGCGGACGTTCTCCTGGAGCGTATTTTAATTTTTCAGGGGAATAAAATTTTCCTTCTGGTTTTAAATTATCACTCGGTTTTATTTGAACGGGACGTTCTCCTGGGGTATACTTTGTTTTTTCCGGATAATACAATTCTCCTTCTGGATACAGGTTGTCGACTTGTTTCACGATGTCTTGACGTTTTGATGAAATGTATTGCTGTTTCTCTTCAATGTAAATTTTACCCTCTTGTTTAAGATTATCTTCAGGCCTTACAGCCTTAGGAATATCACCTGAAATGAATTTTTGCTTTTCTGGAATATATATCTGTCCTTCTGGTTTTAAATTATCACATGGCTTAACTTGTGGAAATCTTTCTCCTGGCTCATACTTTGGTTTTTCGGGAGTATATATTTCTCCTTCAGGACGAAGGTTATCAACTGGCTTCACAAGTTCCGGACGTTGAGACGGTATGAACGCGGTTTTTTCCGGTGTGAAAATATCCCCTTCTGATTTCAAATTGTCGCTAGGTCGTATTTGTTGAGGACGTTCAGAAGGAACAAATTTGGTTTTTTCTGGAGTAAAGATTTCACCTTCTGGATGTAAATTATCTACAGGTTTGACCAATTCTGGTCGCTTTGAAGGAACAAATCTTTGCTTCTCAGGAGTAAACATTTCACCTTCGGGTTTCAAATTATCTTCGGGTTTAATGGCTTTCGGTATTTCTCCAGAAAAATATTTGGGCTTGTCAGGTATTTCAATTTTTCCCTCCGGTTTCAAATTGTCTATTGGTTTTACTTGGTGGGGCCTCTCTCCAGGCGCGTATGTTAATTTTTCTGGACAATAGAACTGTCCTTCTGGTTTTAAATTATCAGTAGGCTTTATTTGCTGAGGACGTTGCCCAGGAGCATATTTTGCTTTTTCTGGTGTGTACATCTCACCTTCGGGATGTAAATTATCTACAGGCTTCACCAATTCTGGTCTTGTAGAAGGAACAAATTTCTGTTTCTCAGGGGTAAAAAGTGCTCCCTCTGGTTTTAAATTATCTTCAGGTTTAACCGGTTTAGGAATTTCTCCAGAAATGTACTTTGGTTTTTCAGGAATTTCCATTTTTCCTTCTGGCTTTAAGTTGTCACTAGGTTTAACTTGCTGCGGTCTTTCACTAAAAATATATTTTGGCTTTTCAGGTGTATGGAAATCGCCCTCAGGTCGTAAATTATCGCTCGGACGAACTTGTGGGAATCTTTCGCCGGGCATGAATGGTTGTTTATCGGGTACTTCAATTTTACCTTCCGGTTTTAAGTTATCACTCGGTTTAATCTGTTTTGGCCGCTCTGCAGGCAAATATTTTGATTTTTCGGGCGAATAGAAATCTCCTTCAGGTTTTAAATTATCCGACGGTTTGATTTGCTGAGGTCGTTCTCCTGGGGCGTAACTTAACTTCTCGGGAGTGTAAAATTGACCTTCTGGTTTCAAATTATCATTGGGCCTCACTTGCTGTGGACGCTCACCCGGTTTAAATGAAACTTTTTCCGGATAGTACACATCACCTTCTGGGCGCAAATTGTCCAAATGCTTTATTATTTCTTGCCGCTCAGCTGCTACAAATTCTTGTTTTTCTTCTATGTAGATATGCCCTTCTTGTTTTAAATTGTCTTTTGGTTTGATTGCTTTAGGAATTTCTACCGGGGTATATTTAGGTTTTTCAGGAGTATGGAAATCTCCCTCAGGTCGTAAATTATCGTTTGGACGAACTTGTGGGAATCTTTCTCCGGGCATGTATGGTTGTTTATCGGGTACTTCAATTTTACCTTCCGGTTTTAAGTTATCACTCGGCTTTACCTGTTTTGGCCGTTCAGCAGGCAAATACTTTGATTTTTCGGGCGAATAAAAATCTCCTTCAGGTTTTAAATTATCTGATGGTTTGATTTGCTGAGGTCGTTCTCCTGGGGCGTAACTTAACTTCTCGGGGGTGTAAAATTGACCTTCTGGTTTCAAATTATCATTGGGCCTCACTTGCTGTGGACGCTCACCCGGTTTAAATGAAACTTTTTCTGGATAATAAACATCACCTTCCGGGCGCAAATTGTCCAAATGCTTAATTATTTCTTGCCGCTCAGCTGCTACAAATTCTTGTTTTTCTTCTATGTAGATATGCCCTTCTTGTTTTAAATTGTCTTTTGGTTTGATTGCTTTAGGAATTTCTACCGGGGTATATTTAGGTTTTTCAGGAGTATGGAAATCTCCCTCAGGTCGTAAATTATCGCTCGGACGAACTTGTGGGAATCTTTCCCCGGGCATGTATGGTTGTTTATCGGGTACTTCAATTTTACCTTCCGGTTTTAAGTTATCACTCGGCTTTACCTGTTTTGGCCGTTCAGCAGGCAAATACTTTGATTTTTCGGGCGAATAAAAATCTCCTTCAGGTTTTAAATTATCAGACGGTTTGATTTGCTGAGGTCGTTCACCTGGGGCATAACTCAACTTCTCGGGGGTGTAAAATTGGCCTTCTGGTTTCAAATTATCGGTAGGCCGGACTTGCTGTGGACGCTCACCCGGTTTAAATGAAACTTTTTCTGGATAATAAACATCACCTTCTGGGCGCAAATTGTCCAAATGCTTTATTATTTCTTGCCGCTCAGCTGCTACAAATTCTTGTTTTTCTTCTATGTAGATATGCCCTTCTTGTTTTAAATTGTCTTTTGGTTTGATTGCCTTAGGAATTTCTACTGGTGTATATTTAGGTTTTTCCGGCGTATGGAAATCTCCCTCAGGCCGCAAGTTATCATTTGGACGAACTTGTGGAAATCTTTCCCCGGGCAAATATGGTTGTTTATCGGGTACTTCAATTTTCCCTTCCGGTTTTAAATTGTCGCTAGGTTTCACTTGTTTTGGCCGTTCAGCAGGCAAATATTTAGCCTTTTCAGGAGAATAAAAGTCTCCTTCAGGTTTTAAATTATCAGAAGGTTTAATTTGTTGAGGCCGCTCTCCTGGAGCATACAAAGACTTTTCCGGAGTGTAAAATTTGCCCTCTGGTTTTAAATTATCACTTGGTCGCACTTGTTGTGGACGCTCACCTGGTTTGAATGTAACCTTTTCTGGATAATAAACATCACCTTCCGGACGTAAATTATCCAAATGCTTAATTATTTCTTGCCGCTCAGCTGCTACAAATTCTTGCTTTTCTTCAATGTAGATGTGTCCCTCCTGTTTTAAATTATCCTTTGGTTTAATTGCTTTCGGAATTTCGACTGGGGTATATTTATGTTTCTCTGGGGTATGGAAATCTCCTTCAGGCTTTAAATTATCAGAGGGTCTTATTTGCTGCGGACGTTCTGCCGGCGCATAGTCTGTCTTCTTAGGAGTGTAAAATTCACCTTCTGGTTTTAAATTATCATTTGGTTTTATTGCTTTAGGAATTTCTACTGGCGTATATTTAGTCTTCTCAGGAGTGTGGAAATCTCCTTCAGGTCGTAAATTATCATTTGGACGAACTTGTGGATATCTTTCTCCGGGAATGTATGGCTGTTTGTCGGGTACTTCAATTTTTCCTTCTGGTTTTAAATTGTCACTAGGTTTTACTTGCTTTGGCCGTTCAGCAGGCATATATTTTGTTTTTTCGGGAGAATAAAAGTCTCCTTCAGGTTTCAAATTATCAGACGGTTTGATTTGTTGAGGCCGTTCTCCTGGCGCATAGATCAGCTTCTCGGGGGTATAAAATTGGCCTTCGGGTTTCAAATTATCATTAGGGCGCACTTGCTGTGGACGCTCACCCGGTTTGAACGCAGTTTTCTCTGGATAATAGACATCACCTTCTGGACGCAAATTGTCCAAATGCTTTATTATTTCTTGTCGCTCAGCTGCTACAAATTCTTTTTTTTCTTCAATGTAAATGTGTCCTTCTTGTTTTAAATTATCTTTTGGTCTAATTGCCTTGGGAATTTCTACTGGCGTATATTGAGGTTTTTCGGGAGTATGAAAATCTCCCTCAGGTCGCAAATTGTCATTTGGGCGAACTTGTGGAAATCTTTCTCCGGGTATATACGGTAGTTTGTCAGGCACTTCAATTTTGCCTTCTGGTTTTAAATTGTCGCTAGGCTTCACTTGTTTTGGTCTTTCAGCTGGTAAATATTTTGCTTTTTCCGGGGAGTAAAAGTCTCCTTCAGGTTTTAAATTATCAGAGGGCCTGATTTGCTGTGGGCGTTCTCCCGGTGCATAGCCTGTCTTTTCGGGAGTGTAAAATTCACCTTCTGGTTTTAAATTATCATTTGGTTTTATTGCTTTAGGAATTTCCACTGGGGTATATTTAGTCTTCTCAGGAGTATGGAAATCTCCTTCAGGCCGTAAATTATCGCTCGGACGAACTTGTGGAAATCTTTCTCCGGGAATGTATGGCTGTTTGTCGGGTACTTCAATTTTTCCTTCTGGTTTTAAATTGTCACTGGGCTTTACTTGCTTTGGCCGTTCAGCAGGCATATATTTTGTTTTTTCGGGAGAATAAAAGTCTCCTTCAGGTTTCAAATTATCAGACGGTTTGATTTGTTGAGGTCGTTCTCCTGGCGCATAGATCAGCTTCTCGGGGGTATAAAATTGGCCTTCGGGTTTCAAATTATCATTAGGGCGCACTTGCTGTGGACGCTCACCCGGTTTGAATGCAGTTTTCTCTGGATAATAAACATCACCTTCTGGGCGCAAATTGTCCAAATGCTTTATTATTTCTTGTCGCTCAGCTGCTACAAATTCTTTTTTTTCTTCAATGTAAATGTGTCCTTCTTGTTTTAAATTATCTTTTGGTCTAATTGCCTTGGGAATTTCTACTGGCGTATATTGAGGTTTTTCGGGAGTATGAAAATCTCCCTCAGGTCGCAAATTGTCATTTGGGCGAACTTGTGGAAATCTTTCTCCGGGTATATACGGTAGTTTGTCAGGCACTTCAATTTTGCCTTCTGGTTTTAAATTGTCGCTAGGCTTCACTTGTTTTGGCCGTTCAGCTGGTAAATATTTTGCTTTTTCCGGGGAGTAAAAGTCTCCTTCAGGTTTTAAATTATCAGATGGCCTGATTTGCTGCGGACGTTCTCCCGGTGCATAGTCTGTCTTCTCTGGAGTGTAAAATTCACCTTCTGGTTTTAAATTATCATTTGGTTTTATTGCTTTAGGAATTTCCACTGGGGTATATTTAACCTTCTCAGGTGCATGGAAATCGCCCTCAGGCTTTAAGTTATCACTTGGGCGAACTTGGGGAAATCGTTCTCCAGGAATATACGGCTGTTTGTCGGGTATTTCAATTTTACCCTCAGGTTTTAAATTATCACTAGGCTTCACTTGTTTTGGCCGTTCAGCTGGTAAATATTTTGCTTTTTCCGGAGAGTAAAAATCTCCTTCTGGTTTTAAATTGTCTGAAGGTTTGATTTGCTGAGGTCGTTCACTTGGAGCATAGGAAGACTTTTCTGGAGTATAGAACTTACCTTCTGGTTTTAGATTATCATTAGGCCGCACTTGTTGTGGACGCTCACCTGGTTTGAATGCACTTTTCTCTGGATAATAAACATCCCCTTCTGGCCTCAAGTTATCCAAATGCCTTATTATTTCTTGACGTTCAGCAGCTACGAATTCTTGTTTTTCTTCTATGTATATATGTCCTTCTTGTTTTAAGTTATCCTTTGGTTTGATTGCTTTAGGAATTTCTACTGGTGTATATTTAGGTTTCTCTGGTGTATGAAAATCGCCCTCTGGTCGCAAATTATCATTGGGTCTAACTTGTGGGAACCTTTCTCCAGGCATATAAGGTTGTCTGTCGGGTACTTCAATTTTGCCTTCCGGTTTTAAATTGTCGCTAGGTTTCACTTGTTTTGGCCGTTCAGCTGGTAAATATTTTGCTTTGTCGGGCGAATAAAAGTCTCCTTCTGGTTTTAAATTGTCAGATGGCTTGATTTGTTGAGGTCGTTCTCCTGGTGCGTAACTTAATTTCTCAGGAGTGTAAAATTTACCTTCTGGCTTTAAATTATCGTTTGGTCGTATTTGTTGTGGACGTTCCCCTGGTTTAAATGCAATCTTTTCAGGATAATAAACATCGCCTTCTGGACGCAAATTATCGAAATGCTTTATTATGTCTTGACGCTCGGCAGCCACAAATTCTTGTTTTTCCTCTATGTATATGTGTCCTTCTGGTTTTAAATTGTCTTTTGGTTTTACTGGCTTAGGTATCTCCACCGGCACGTATCTAGGTTTTTCAGGAGTATGGAAATCTCCCTCCGGTCGCAAATTATCATTTGGGCGAACTTGTGGGAACCTTTCTCCAGGAATATACGGTTGTTTGTCGGGTACTTCAATTTTCCCTTCCGGTTTTAAATTGTCACTAGGTTTCACTTGTTTTGGCCGTTCAGCTGGTAAGTATTTTGCTTTGTCGGGTGAATAAAAGTCTCCTTCAGGTTTTAAATTGTCAGATGGCTTGATTTGTTGAGGTCGTTCCCCTGGTGCGTAACTTAATTTCTCAGGAGTGTAAAATTTACCTTCTGGTTTCAAATTGTCATTTGGTCGTACTTGTTGTGGTCGTTCCCCTGGTTTATATGCAGTCTTTTCTGGATAATAAACATCACCTTCTGGCCTCAAGTTGTCCAAATGCCTTATTATTTCTTGTCGCTCAGCAGCTACAAACTCTTTTTTTTCTTCTATGTAAATGTGTCCTTCTTGTTTTAAATTATCTTTAGGTTTGACTGGCTTGGGTATTTCCACCGGCATATAAACCGTTTTTTCAGGAGCATGAAAGTCCCCTTCAGATCGCAAGTTGTCGCTTGGGCGAACTTGAGGAAATCTCTCTCCAGGTATATATGATTGTTTTTCAGGCACTTCAATTTTACCCTCTGGTTTCAAATTATCGCTAGGTTTAATCTGCTTTGGTCTTTCGGACGGTAAGTATTTTGCTTTTTCGGGCGAGTAAAAATCTCCTTCAGGTTTTAAATTGTCCGATGGTTTAATTTGTTTTGGTCTATCTGCCGGCTCGTAACCTGATTTTTCTGGAGTATAAAATTCTCCTTCTGGTTTGAGGTTATCACTTGGCCGTACTTGTTGTGGACGCTCACCTGGCCTAAATGAAGTTTTTTCTGGATAATAAACATCACCTTCAGGTCTCAAATTGTCAGAGTGTTTTATAATTTCTTGTCGTTCAGCTGCTACAAATTCTTTTTTTTCTTCTATGTAGATGTGTCCTTCTTGTTTTAAATTATCTTTTGGCTTTACTGCCTTAGGTATTTCCACCGGTATATATGCGGGCCTTTCAGGAGTATGGAAATCGCCCTCTGGTCGCAAATTATCACTTGGACGAACTTGCGGGAACCTCTCCCCAGGCATGTATGGTTGCTTATCGGGAAGTTCAATTTTTCCTTCTGGTTTCAAGTTATCACTAGGTTTTATCTGTTTAGGCCGTTCGGCTGGTAAGTATTTTGCTTTTTCAGGGGAATAGAAATCGCCTTCAGGCTTTAAATTATCAAAAGGTTTAATTTGCTGCGGCCGTTCTCCTGGTTTATACGAAGTCCGTTCTGGAAAGTAAAGTGTTCCTTCTGGATGCAAATTATCGATGTGTTTTATTATTTCTTGTCGTTCAGCAGCTAAAAACGCATGTTTTTCTTCAATATATATTTGCCCTTCTTGTTTTAAATTATCTTTAGGTTTAATAGCTTTCGGAATTTCTCCTGGAATGTATTTAGTTTTTTCTGGTGTATGAAAGTCTCCTTCAGGTTTCAAATTATCATTTGGACGAGTTTGTGGAAATCTTTCGCCAGGCGCATATTTTGTTTTTTCTGGTATTTCAAAATTGCCTTCGGGTTTTAAATTATCAACAGGTTTAATTTGCTGCGGTCGTTCTCCAGGCCTATATATATTTTTATCTGGATAAAAATGTTCACCCTCTGGATGCAAATTATCAGCGCGTTTTATTATTTCTTGCCTTTCACTAGCTATGAATTCCTGTTTTTTTTCTATGTAAAAATTACCTTCTGGTTTTAAATTGTCATGTGGACGAACTAGAGGAAATCGTTCACCTGGTTTATAATCCTCGCTTTCAGGAAACTCAATTATTCCTTCAGATTTTAAATTATCATTTGGTTTAATATATTGAGGGCGTTCGCCAGGCTTATATTTCGGTTTTTGTGGAAAGTAAATGTCACCTTCCTGATAAAGATTGTCGGAATGTTTAATTATATCTTGCTTCGAAGCCATCACGTATTGTTGGTTGTCTTCCAAGTAAATTTCTCCTTCATGATAATTTTTAAACTCTTGGGTGTTAATAATATCTGTAGAATGTTTAACATCATGTCTAGCAAATTTATTTATGTCTTTAGTTTCATATAGCATTTCTCTCATTTTAGAATCAGTATCCTGCTGTTCCAATAAGCACATTTGACAATTACCATATTTTTCAACTGTGTCATATTCTGTATTAACAATTTTTTTATCGATTTTTGAAAGATCATCTTTAGTCCACGTATTAGATCTAACACGAGTATAAGATGATTCAAGGTTTTCATCTAAAGTGAAAAATTTTATTATTTAAAAAATCTTTTACAAAATAGAGTTATTAGTTTTTGGAAATATAACAGATAAAAAGTTTTTTTCTATACCTGTTGACGAAAATACATCGGTTGTAGATTTTGAGTGATCGATTTCGTCTTTTATTTGGTGAAGACTGAAAATGAAACAATGTTTTCATACTTATAATTAAAATCTTTACAATTAAAATTTTTTATTGACTAATGTTCAAAGAATTATTTTTGAAATGGTTGTACATTTAAACAGAAAACTTAATAAATAGTAGAAAAAATTAATGTATGATCTAAATTAACAAATATTTTTCATTGATATGGTTTCCCAATTTTTTTTTGCACTTTCCAATTTTACTTTTAACTTATATTCGCTTACTTTAAACCATAAAATAAACTGATTTTTTTATTTTTCCTAACTAAAGTCATTTTATCTTTTCAAATGTTATGTGACATAATTTGTATAATTTTTCAATATAATAATTTCAATTTATTTTAATTTAGTCAAGTACAAATATTTTCATAATTAATATCTGATCATGTAAAGTAATCCCAATGTGGATTTTAAATCTTTTGAGTATTTATCGATTCTAAATAGTACCACTAACTACTCTATATCTAAATCTAACTCTAAATAGTGTCACTAATTACTCTTATACACACGAGTATTTCAAAATTTTCATTAATTTTAATAAATTTCATAAATTTTCACATATTGATACATAAAGTCTTTATCAGAAATTAGAAAATTTGAAAAATGTGCAATTTAAATTTGTTTAATTATGTGAGAACTATTAATTATTATTCAAGATATTAATTGCAAGTTCTTCATTTGAAATAATTATACTTACCCACTTGTTATTCTTCTAGTTTCATCATACAAATCTCTTTTCACGTTAGTTACACTTTCATCGTGGATCTGAAATTAATTAAATTTAAAATTAAATTTAAGATTTTGTTATTCATTTTTCTTTAAAACGAAAAATAAAGCTATTTCTTACCAAAGTTTTTGATTTTTCAAAACGTTCATCAGTTAATTCATTCAAAGTAGTCAAAACTTCAACATTTTGTGTCGGACTCTCGACAATTCTTTCCACCACGTTTGTGTGTGTTTGCTCATTGACAGTTTTCCAAGTGTTACTTTTAGCATCGAAAACCTGAAATTTAATAACACAACGTTTGTCACAGATGTATATCCAAAATATATTTTTTTTAAGTTTTCGCTGGGTAAATTTATTTAAATCAAATAAAAATAATTACTTAATATAGTACAATCATTTTTGTCTTTTATGTAATGTAAAATAAACTAATATCATTCCTTGATATTATTTATATTTAAATACTTTGAACAAAAAAAACATTTTCGCTACGATAGCTTGTAACTTTTTTTTTTAAATTTTTTAGCTATGCGAAAATGGTCTGCGCATGGGAAGTAATTAAAAATTTGGAACGATTTTTGCAAAGCCAGAAATTTTACATACATTATGCATATGTATATATATATTTAAACAAAAGCAGGAATATTAGCTTTAAATAAAATCTTTGTGTTGTTGTATGATAAAAAATAAAAATATTTAATATTTTATTACAATTAAATACACTTATGAGTTTTTTCAAAAGACATACATATGTAGCTCAACCTACATATGTACGTACATATATATATATATCAATCGTAAATATTGATCTACCCATGTATATTAATTTTTTGTATATAACAACATGCAAGTAAAAATTAACCAAATGTACCAAAAATATATTATACTCGTAGTTTAATTTATTTTTTAGGAAAAAATTTTTTAAAACTTAAAAATTTTTGCTTATGAAAAACTTTTACTGTAATGTGTTTATTTCATGCCAATGAATTTTACAAAGAATTCAATCAACCATAAATGGTACCCGCAATTTCTACGCCAACACTTTTTCGAAATGTTAATATCCTAATAATGATTCACCATATAGTCAATTATTTGATAAACAATGAAATTTAAAGAGATCCACAAATCAATTTTGTGGAGCCAAAACACTTTTTATGGAAAAAATGAATAACATATTCGCAAAATTAAGATTAATATCATAATGCCATTTCTTCTATATATGCACATATATTTATACAGGCATGTATAAATATATTGACATATTAATACGAATAAAATTTATGGATATGTACATATTTTGAAATATTGATAATACAATCATTGGATTGATACTCATAAACCAAGAAGTACTAAAAATCAATGGTTCATATTTTTTTTTGGATAAAAAGCTAACTTTGTTCTTTTAATTTCAAACTGTATAACGAGCTTTAATCAACCAATATAATACTCTAAAATTTATATTTGTATATGTTTATATTTACAATAGTTTGTTATTTAGATTTTTTAAGACACTTCAACGCAATTCATAATAATTTTTTTTTTAGACAACCACCTACTTAATAAATTATTATTTAAAGTTTTTATAATTTTGCACAGTAAAAATTCTCGAAAAGAAGCAAAATAAAGTTTATTTTTCTTTTCTTAAAGAAAAATTTCCTAGTATTATAAATTTTCCTTCTTATGCATGTATTACCAGACATAACACATTACACAATAAAAAATAAGTAAAAATATGTGTTAAAATCTTAAATTTATCTATAAAACTTGTGAGTTAATTTTTTCTGTTATAAAGTTGTACGTGCAATAAAATTTTTAGCAAACCGGTTCGCCATAAACGAAAAATAAAATGACATCACTATTGCAATTATTTACTTTTATCATCAAGCTACCAAATTTGGAAACAAATTATATTTTAAACTTCAATATTATATATTCCATTTGCTTTTACATAAGTTACCTGTCGTCCATGAGTTATGTAGTATATTCCTCTTTTATTTTATTTTTATTTTTTTGAGTTATTCATATACAGGTGGTCGGAGACTCAATGTAGCTCCCGAATCAGGGTAATAGAATGACTTCAGACGAAAAAAAGCACTAAATGAGTTTTTGCTTTTTGGGCCCTCTTTTTCGATTTATAGGGCCTAAAAGTTGGAATTTCTGAAAACCGTCTAATTTTTATATTTTTATTGATAGCTCGAGAAATATGCTGAGATTCAACTTAGAAATATCGCAACAATATTTAATATATGTACATAAATCTAATTGAAATATAAAAATTAAAAATGGCTAGACATTTTTATTCTAATTTTTTTTTTTGATATTTAATTCTGAAAATGTTCCGAAAAAGACCTTTAAGCCAATTCAAAATGTCTCTTATTTTTATGTTTTATATTAACATAATTCCAAAGGAGCTTCTATTCTCAAAACAATTTATTATTTGAAGTGCCGCTGTTCAAACAGTTTCAAGATATTTTTGAATTCGAAATTACTGTTGTATGTTTTTCTATTAACTTCTTTCTTAGCGTTTCCTCTCGCCAATTTTCTTTTTATTGATGGATACATGAAAACTAAAAAGTTCTATACAAACATATTTACAACACAAAGTTCAAAAGAAGCTCAAACTATTTCCTTCCTTTTATTAAAGATTCGACAAAAATTTTGATCTTTTTCAATAAGCAACAACATTCAATAAAAAAATCTAACATTAAGTCAACAACAAACTTTAGCTCATGGTTTTTAAATGTAATAATAAACTCTTTACAAAATTTATTAAAATTATCTGGTTGAGATAACGATTAGTTAAATACTTATTATATTTTTCTTATTTAAAGTACATACATATTTTTTTTCTTTTAAAGTACAAAATTTAGTGAAACTTTCAAAGTATAGATAAGATTTCCATCAAAATATTAATATATTAAACAATATGAGTAGGTAAAAACAAATATATGTATGTATATATTTCCAAATTGTTTCCATATTAGATACAATTTAAAATTCTGAAATAATAAATGCATAAAATTAATTTGTTTTTTATTCTATACACCTAATATGAGTATGAAATAGACACGCAAATAACGAATGGATACTTAATTAAAGAAATTGTTTTGCTATAAAGGTAGAGCTGGATTTTTCAAAACTAGCGCCCAGATCGTTGCTGTTACGGAACTTGCAAATTGCTTTTACGTTAGTTAAAGACAGTAGTTTATGAAGAATTTTCATCTTTTATATTTTGAAGTGGGTTATGAAAATGTTTTTGTTTTTCCAAGATAATACGCTGTAAAAGCTGAAGAACGATATTCGAGCTTACAAAGTGAGCCCAATAACTTTCAATATAGTAAATATTAAGTAAAAATGTTAGGAATGCTTCTCCCGAATTATGACGCAAAATATACAGATAATAGGAAAATGAATAAAGTTGGGTCAAACCAATGGTTTGTATTGTAGCACTTTTCCCTTCAACAAATGAAAATACAGTCTTGCTTTTAAATACAGTCTATTTATACCTATCACACTATTAAAATTATTTTCATTCATATACAAAATTATTTCTAGGATTGCATATATTTAGGATGAATGATTTATGCAGTCTTTGAAATAAAGCAAAAATTAATATAAAGTGGGGTTAACATAATGCTCGATTTTAAGGTTTAATTTTGTGAGTTAAGAAAAATAATTATATTTTTTAATTTCATGGAATTTACCGTTAACTTTTTGCGTTAATAGAAATTTGAAAAAGCTTGCGGTTTCGGAAATATAAGGTGTCAAAAATTCAAATTTTACAAATTTCAAGAGGCGATAACTTGAGAGGGGGTGGAGATGGAAAAAAATTTTCTTCTAGCGAAATGAACTATTTGATAATGTCTAAAAGCTCCTAAAATTTCAAGCTTCTACAGGCTGTAGTTTGGAAAAAAAACGACATCAAAAATTTGCAAAAAAAGGACTTTAGATAACGGTAAATTTGAACGGCCATTTTGCTTTTCTAAAGTTCAAATATAGTATGCCGCGCTAGGGGAAGCAAGCCGCTGCTTTTTGCGTTTGCAAAATTTCAAAAATGCTTATGGTTTCATTGCAACAAATAGTTAAAAAAGGCCATTTTTAGGGTTTTGGGGGGGTATAACTTCTAGAGGGGAGCAGATAGGTAAAAATTTTGTTCTACAGAAATAAGTTTCTAGTAAAGATCTATGTACATATAAAATTTCAGCTTTCTATCTTCAAGGGTGTAGAAGTTTTGTAAACAGACACACGGACAGACGGACGGACGGACGGACGGACGGACGGACGGACAGACGGACGGACGGACGGACGGACGGACGGACGGACGGACGGACGGACAGAGTGAAACTAATAAGCACTTTTTTTCAAAAAATTTTTGGAAAAGTGCTAAAAACAAATGTTAGAAAATCTTACGATAACTTAGCAAGGATCGGAGGAAAAGAAAAATGTCTCCTATTAGTTTTTACTCATCTGGACTTATATCAAAGTATTTCTTGAATACAATCGAGTTTCGGATACTTTTTATACATATTCAACTATTTATTGATTAAAAATATAAAAGTTCACAAAAATCAATATATGTTAGTTGTTGTTGTTTTTTATGCCTGATATTTCCATATATAAAAAAAAGTACTAAGTAATTCAATTTATAGAAGACTTAAAACAGTTAAATAAAATTATTCGACAATATTATTTGAGAACCTATCAGAACATTGGAAAAATACAATCAATAATAGAAAACCATTTAAATAAAATAACAGAATTAAAATAAAAGTAATAAAGCAAATTGACAAAAATAGATGTGTCTTCAAGCATTCAAAATGCAAAAACTAAACATGTTAAATTGTCTAATTATAGCAATAATAAATAATTTACCACGGAGACATCTAGTTTTGGTGTTATCATTTTCAGATATTTAAGAACGTTTTTAAGCTAAGATATTAGTCGAAGATGAAAGAGCATTCGATTTTATGACGCCTAGATTAATTACCTAAATATGTAGAATTTTCAAGTTATCTAGATTTTATCTTCATAGTTATTAACCTCGATTCTTTTATTTGTCATTAACTTTCTAAATATTTTCTTATTCAATATATTTTTTAAGAATTGTTAAGTATTCAACAAATTTTTATTTTAATAAATTTTAAATTCTCTTGAAATTTCAAATTATATAGATTTTCATTTTTAGAAATGATCTGAGTTTTGACATAATGATATATAAAGATATATGAGAAAAAAAATTATTTTATCAGTTGCCACTTACACTATAATATAGCCAGGCA